CTCGTACGTTTGTTGATGAGAAGAAGGGTTGACGCTTCTTGGCCTGGGTTCGTGGGTCAAAACGCGATAGACATGATCCAGGATTACATCTTGCGATTTTGCCCTGGAGAAATTATCTTTTCCGATCGAGGCATCGTTTGCGATGCAGCCACGGCTTGTTCGGTGCTTGATCGCGGTCCCGGTGGGTTGACGGTCACGCTTCGCACTCTCGACGTTTCGGGCGTGAAAATAAACACTCAGCTCATCGAGCTTATCGCGAATGCGTTTTCGATTGTCAGGCTTGTCATCGCCGAGTCTTGTGGCGTTTTAAGCGTGGCCTTTTCCAGGGTAAGAGTGAGACAGCTCTGCGTTGCCAGAAACAAGTATCTCCAAGGAGATTTCCTTCAGCATTGGAAGGCCCGACTAGAGACTTTATCGTTGACTGAATGCGGTCAGATCGCGTATCAACCCGTTCTCGTGTTTGCGTGTGACAATTTCATTTTCAAAGAGTTGAGCCTGTGTGACTGCGACTTTCTATCGAATGATCAGTGCGACGTGTATGTTTTGCTGCTCGAAGCCTTGATTAATGAAAACTCTTATCTAGAGAATTTAACAATGTCGTTCAGCGAACCGACGGGGCGCGACACACCCGATGGTCGAGTTATCAATTTATCAAATAATCTTACCATTAAGGAATTGAATATTAGTAATAACTTGTATTTATCACATTTTGTCCCGCAGATTGTCGCTAACATTAATAATGTTAAAGTTCTAAACCTATCGGGTGTGCCGTTTTACGATTATATTGATATGTCTGAATTGTGGTGTATAGAATCACTCTACATTTGCTATGCTAAATATTTGATATATTCCCTGTTATCGCTGAACGCGCAAACAATAAGATATATGGAAGTTGTTAATAAGAAAGGTAAAAGCAAGACTAAGCTTTTGGACTTAGGTTGTATCGAGCAATTAATCGGTGTTGATCATAAGTTTCGTTATAAGTTTCTTAATTGTAAGACCGCCATTCCAGCTGCGCTGGATCGTAAAATAAAACGAATAAATATTACAGTAAGTAATGTAAATAAGTGTTTGACGCTCTCGAACTAAAACTCTATTACACTTTGTAAAGTAAATTAAAATTTTTGTTTAACCACAAATGTACGAGAGAGCCTAGCTATTGTATGTCAATGATAAAAATGTTATAAGCGTATTAAAAGCGACTGTGAAAAAAAAAGATGTAACATATAGAATATAATCCTCATAATAATTTAACCAATTGTTAAAAGGTTGTTTTGCTCAGTGCATATTAAGCACACACATAAATTTGTTGCTCATGTCAAAAATGTAATCACTCATTAAGAGTTATGCTCATGATAAATATGTATTCCGAGTAAGGTATAAGGAAACTTTATGTTTGGTACGATAAGAAGTTAAACTTCTGGTGATTAATTGTTGATAGTTAAAGATATTCTCTTTTAATTATTATTTTATTAAACTATGAGCAACTGTCAAGCGTAAGCGCAATTCGTTTAAACAGCGACATGATTTTTTGTATTCGTGCTTGTAAGCTGATTTTAAGCGATTACTTTGTAAGTGCAATCGCACATGTGAGCGAGTGATCGTGTTTTTCTCGTAGCCCTCGGCAACACTGGGGGGGAGTTATGTGGCGATTGCCCCCGTCACCTTACGTCAGGTGACGTACGAATATACACATGCACCTATTGTCGCGAGCGGCAGTGCCGTTGCGCCCTACTATACATATCATGTAAGCGCGTACAGTCAGATTAACTCGAGCAAGCACACCGATCGGTCGCTTTGCAGGCGCCCCGATCAACACAAATAAACGCCTCAGTGATTACCACCACATCAAGTCTACCTTTATTTCCGCCCCTCTTCCACCCAGCGACATCGTCCTCTAGGCCACGAGTACGTCGGCAGATAACCAAGGCCTACAACTACAATTGAAAGTTGAAGAAAATAATTAAAGTACGAATCATTTTTTGAAAATGTGATTTCCAATAAAAAATAAAAAATACCTATCAAAAAAAAATCTAAACAAAAAACAAATTAAAAATTGAAAAATTAGAAAAAAAATTAAAAATAAATTAGCTGTTTATGAACAGCTGGAAGATGTAAAACATCTTTGTCAATTAATGAAAGACAATTAAATAATTTAAAAGAACTAAAAAAATCCAAAAACATGAATCAATAATAAAAACAAAAAATCAAACTAGAAACTAAAAAAACTAAAAACCAAACTAGAAACTAAAAACTTTTTAGTTATACAGTTTCAAACAAATATTTTCGCTTATTTCATACGGATTGAACATCCAAATATCATATGAGCACACACTGTAAATCACACATCTTATTTTCAATGCACTTAATGTGACACGGTGAATGTAATAATTACAAATAATATATTCTGTTTACATTTCCCTCATAAACTAGTTACACTTTTAGAAAGCTTTACTTATACGACATACAAGAACAATTTGTTAATTAGACAAAATTAAACAGTCAATTTTGTTGTGTAGTTTTAAATCTCTGTCTCTTACTTTTCTCTCCAGCGAAGCTGATATCATAGTTGTACATTTAATGAACTTAAAATTAAATTCTTTATCAACGCCAATGAATTGCTCAATGCAACCTAGGTCCAACTTTTTTGTTTTCTTTTTACCTAGTTTATTTTCTACTTCAAGCAGCTTCAACGTGTCTGTGTTTAGCGATGCCAAAGAGTACATGAGAAATTCATTGTAACAAATAAGCAAAGATTCAATGCACCACAACTCTGACATATCAATAAAGTCATAGCAAGGAACACCTGATACACTGATAGAAATATGGTTCGCCTGGCAGAAACGGAGCCGTTTCTACGGGCAAAACGGAGCCGTTTCTGCGGGCGAAACGGAGCCGTTTCTACGGGCGAAACGGAGTCGTTTCTACGGGCGAAACGGAGTCATTTCTACGGGCGAAACGGATCCGTTTCGACAGACGAAACGGATCATTGCATCATACCGCACTGCCGACACACACTCATGCGCGTACATACTGTAACAACTGTTGGAAAATGTATACAAACAAAAACATAACCAACACCGTAGAGCGTGCCAAAACTCGAAGTTCCACTGCTACGGCAGGTAGTCGGTAGCATATGTGTAATGTGGCAGTTCGGGGGCGCTATACAGCGCTAACAACTCTCAAGGTCAAAAAAAGACGAAGTCGGTAGCATATCTTCTGTCTCCTCTCCGTTTCGTGTGCTGTGACTCGTGCCATGAGTCTGCTACTGTTACATCAAAAGCGTATATGTACAAGGAAGTGTAAAATACTTATCAAATGCAGCTTCATTTGTTGATTTTCACCTTTTCCTGGAGATGTCCAACTGCTGAGTACATGTGACGAGTACATGTGACTTGTAAACAGTAGCAGACTCATGGCACGAGTCACGGCACACGAAACGGAGAGAGACAGAAGATATGCTACCCACTACCTGCGGTAGCAGCCGAACTTCGAATTTTGGCAAGCTCTACGGTGTTGGTTATGTTTCTGTTTGTATACATTTTTCAACAGTTGTTACAGTATGTACGCGCATGAGTGTGTGTTGGCAGTGCGGTATGATGTAATGATCCGTTTCGCCCGTAGAAACGACTCCGTTTCGCCCGTAGAAACGGCTCCGTTTCGCCCTTAGATACGGTTCCGTTTCGCCCGTAGAAACGGCTCCGTTTCTGCCAGACGAACCATATTTCTATCAGTGTAGGTTTAGTACTTTTACGTTATTCAAACTCATGACAATCTGTGGTATAAAGTGAGATACGTGTAAGTTGTTGGTAAGGTTAACTTCTCTCAAAGTGAGGCTATATGACAAATTAACAAAGCGTCCGTTAGGCACGTCTTGACTCGTTGGCTCGCTAAACGACACTTCGAATCTCTCTACATACGAATTTTCATTAAACACAGCTTCAAGCATTAATACATACACATCATTCTGATCATTGGAGAGAAAATCGCAGTCTTTCATATAAATATCTCTAAATATTAAATTATCGTAAAGAAATTGAAGGATTGGCTGGTACGCGATTTGTCGGCATTTCGTCAATGACAAGGACTCGAGTCGATTTTTCAAGTGGAGCAAAAAATCTCCTTGTAAAAATTTATTTTCAGACACGTACAGCTGTCTCACCCGTACCCTAGAAAACCCTGCACTAAGTTCACCGCTGGACTCAGCTATAATTAGCTTATTTATCGAAAAAGAGCCCTTAATACGCTCGATGAGTTGGGCGTTCAGCGGCACACCAGAAACGTCTAGCGTAACGAGAGGGGTATCAACGTTACCGGGTTGAGGTTCAAGCATCCTGCAAGCCGTGCTCGCATCATTGACGATGCCTCGAATCGTGAATGCGGTCGCCCTTGGACGAAATCTATGAATATACTCCTTCACCATATGTGTCGGATTCTGACTGACAAAGCCAGGCCATGCCAAGTCGACCTTTCGCTTCATAATCAAGCGCACGAGATGACTGCCTCGGCAAATCATCCAAATATTACAAAGGTCGTCGTACGAAAGATAGTGGCTTATATATTCTATTACATCGAGTCTGGCTACCACGCGAAACAGCAACGATTCTTCGTTCGCCCGATACGCGCTGGCGGACCACGGAAAGGTCGTTGCGCTAACGAGATGACTTGGAAGGGGTCTTACACTGGGACGAGCTGAGAGCGCATCTCTTTTCAACGTCAATCAGACATTGTCAGCATACCCTTTCTCGCACGATTCCCACGCAATATTTTCGGGACAAACTTCTCACGCGGCAACGAGGCATCGACACTGGGCATGAAGTGAACGGGTTTGAGCTTGTCAATCGATACGACCGCCTCGCGACCATTTATGTCAATTTTAAACATATTAAACGTAGAATCGCGAGACAATACTTTATGAGGCCCGGTATAAGGGGGTTCGAGCGGTGGCTTGGCTCTTTTATCGAGCTTGAATATGTGATAGCACGCGTTAAGGTCCAAGGTTACAAAAGGATTTCGGGTCGTCTTATGCGCAACCAGCACAGGGCGTACTTGGCTCTTATGAGCTCTAAACTTGCTAAGAAAATCTTCGGGTCAACCTCCGCGTCCGCGCCCACGCACAGATCGCCGGGTATTCTCAGGGGACCGCCGTACAGCATATCGGCCGGGCTCGCGTCGATCGCGCTCAAAAGCCTTGTTCTCAGGCCGAGCAACACCGATGGTAACAACTCCGTCCAACTCTGCGACTCGGCACGGCACATAATTGCGGCTTTCAACGATCTGTGCCAGCGCTCGATCATGCCATTGCCACTCGGATGATAGCTCGTTGTGGGGCAGCGTTTGACGCCGAACGCTCTCAAAAGCTCTGAAAAAATTGCCGACTCGAACTGCCTATCTTGGTCGGTAGTAATAGCAATTGGGGAACCGAATCGTGCGATCCAGCACCTATGAGATTCGCTGGCTACGGTCTCGGCTCTGATGTCTTGCATCGGGACAGATTCTGGCCACCTAGTGTATCTATCTATCATTGTCAAAAGGTATCGATATCCGTCGCTCACCGGGAGCGGGCCGACTATGTCTATATGTAAGTAATCGAACCGTGCATCTGGGGTGTTAAAGTGCAGCGGTGTCGGTTTCGTGTGTCGGCCGACTTTTGACTTTTGGCAACTTACACAGGTCTTACACCAGAGGGTGATGTCCCTATTCATATTCGGCCAGACGAATCGCTCTCCCACGCGCCGCCTCGTCGCTCTCGCGCTCGGGTGCGCGTCACCGTGGCACAATAAAAAACTCTCCCTTCTCAACGATACCGGCAAACACGGTCTATTTTTGCCTTCACGCGACTCACAATAAACATTTAGTTTATCTGGGCCCAATGGGATAACTATAAGTTTGAGTGGATGCTCGGGGTTTTGAACTATCTTGGATAACTCCGGGTCTGAATTTTGCGCGGAAACAATGTCTTTTGAATATTTTGCGTCTCGTTCACGTTATTAATATCGTGGTCAAGAAACACCGATATATTTGCAGGCAAGGTCTCTCGCCAAATACTCAAAACTGCGTCTCTGTTCAAAAAATTACCCGAGCTAGCTATCAAAAATTCCAAAAATTCAGAAGGAGATCGAGCGCCCATGTCACATTTCCTAAAATATTCTTAAAACTCTCAGACTCGCTGAGGGAGAACTTGCTAATGAGGGTCTCTTTTAATTTTGTATATCTCGCATCGGGGAGCGCGGACGTGACAGCAACGGACACGATTCTAACCAGATCTTCGTCGAAGTTGCGCATGGCATTAAAATACATATCGCTATCACTAACTACATTCTTTTTAGCAAACTGTTCCTCTAGGATGGTAAACCACAGAGCGGGAGAGCTTCTCCAAAAGGACTGAAAATTAATCTCAAGCCACGGGGGTTCGCGAAGCACACTACTCAAAGCCGCCAGCTCACTAGCAGCAGACGGATTCCGGGGCTCGACATTCACCTGAGCCAAGTGACTCGCGAAAAGTGCTTCGACGCGCGAAATCATTTCGTCCTTTAATCTCTGTAAGTCTGCGGATGAGACGCTATTCTCCGTCGTCTGCGAAGACATGTCGGCAGTGTCACTGCTCACCGACTGCGTATCCGTCGAAACGGTCTTGGTCAAGGGAGGGTTCACAGAAAGCGAAGGGTCCACGGCGTTACCTCGTCGCAGGTAATACGGGTTCTTTTTAAATGGAGATCGCTCGACGCCCATGTGTGAGGAACGCCCAAGCTCAAAGACCGAATATTATCGAAAGAAAATAAAAACTGGCTCAAAAGCGCCTTGTTAGATCACACGATTTTTGTTTTTTATTTTTCTTTTCATTTCAATGCAATCACTGTATGATTATATGTAAAATAAATAGAATTATATTATTTTTAATATACTGTTATATTTTTGATTTACCGATTCCTACCCACAACACAAGCAGGTTTATTATTATTTACACAGAGAGGTTTATGTTTTTGACTCTTAATGCAGAAAACATTTATGTGTATTGAGCCTCCGAGTAGCAAGCGTAACTAAATGATAAACAATCGAAGCAAAGTATATTTACGCTAATCAAATTAAAATTTCATAATTCGAACACGCTGCAAACGTTCAACGACAAACATGTCGACTCGCAAGGAAGACAAATCTTCGAAAATGCGAGAAGCTATGCCGATAGATCAGACGAAGCGTGTCGATGAACTCGAAAAAACAATGAACTTCAGGCTCGACTCGATAGACTCACTGCGCGTCGTATTGCGCTTCGCAAAAAATTAAATTGAATATTTTCTTAAATGTCTAAATTAATCTCAAAAATTATATCAAATATATTCATGAACAGTACTATGTATGTGCGTAAGGGAAGGTAAAGTTAATCACTAGAAAGTTTTTCTTTTGTACTTTCAAATTACTACGAGTGTTGATTGTACCTTGTTGAGCTCAAGTCGTGTGTCGCCGCTGCGCAGATGTCTGTCGACTGGTCAAAACGGAGCGCGAAACCTCGCTGCGACCGTTGATGTAGATGATGCGTCTAGCTTCTCTTGACGCGTCTATTACAGTGCGTATCACCACAATAGTATTCAGATTTAAATCATTAATTACATTGAATGACAAAATTAAACATTACCTACACTATTACAATCTGCTTACAATTTTATAAATAACAATACAATTCTATAACACATCTAAGTATGTATTCTTAACTTATATTTAACATATCTCTAAATTTAATATGCTTCTCCTTACCATGCGCCTTAGTAAATATATCTGCGACATTTTCATTTGTATCTATTTTACAAACCTAAATTTCTTGATTTGTTGCACTTTCATGGACAAAATGATAATGTATTTCAATATGTTTAGAATTTTTTGGTAAGTTTCTATTTTTAGGTATATCTATTGTGATATACGCCAAACGCGTATTATAGACGCGCACTGCAAGTCACGCCGAGCTTTGCAGATCGGTGCCGTTTTTCAGCCTCACTGTGATCGGCGCCACTTCCCAACCGAAAGCGAACTGCCGTCGGTGGTGGTGGGGGCCGCCGCTGCGTCGCGCGCCGTCCACGCCGCGCAATGTAAGCTGGCGCTCTAGGCCGCTGCCGGCATTCGCTCGCGAGCTCTTGTGCTGAGCACAACTCCTGGCTCTATCCGGAGAAGTGCGGCACTCTACCTAGAGTCATCAAGACCCAAGCGAAGTGTTCTCTCCGGATCTCCGGAGTTTACACAACTCTCTAGCCTTCAGAGTCTCTATAACTCGACGCGTTTGAGTTGTCAAAGTTGTTGACTGGATAGGGACGAAGTTTTAATACAGAATTAACTTTGTCTCTCAGCAAAACAACTTCTTTTCATTTCTTGCTCCCTTCCCAGCCTCCTCATCCGCTTCTGCCATTCGAAGCTTCGACAGTGACCGCTAGGTGGCTCCGAGCCAGCACCCTCAAGCGACATGCGCACGGCAGCGCTTAAGTATCAGTCACTTCGAGCCTCGGTTAACTCGATTTCGGTCGATCAGCAAGTGTTGCCTGGACCTTTCGGCACACTAATTAACGGGGCCAACCCAGATTCGCCGACCCAGCTGAAATTGCGAAGCTGACAACGGAACATATCGGACTTGGGATTCAACTGCCACATTAGTCGCCAAAGAACGGAGTTGGAACTCTGAAACGTGCCAACGACCTTGGTCCTTTTCAGGACCACAAACGTAGGTTGTCGATCTTCTAGCCAAGGTCGACGCGCGCTGTTCAGTCAGCTCTAGAGTTAAAACTCTGCAGCTCTTTACAGCACTTGGCATCCTTTTCTGGGCCACTGTTCGAAAAGTCGTTGGGCTTTGTAAAAAATCAAACGCAAGCCGACTTATCGGTTCCAGAGTGCAAACTCTAAAACTTTTGTCGGTCTCCGGTCTTTTTCAGGACCACTGTTCGAAATTCATCGAATTGTTATAAGTTCGATTGCTAGCCGTCTTCTCGAGCTACAGAGTATAAACTCTGAAACTCTTTCGGCTACAAACCTTTCGCGGTTTTCGTTCGAAAGCCATCGGCCTTTTTGTTAAAGTCCGATACTGACCGTCTTATCGAGTTACAGAGTGTAAACTCCGAAACTCTTTTCGGCCACCAGCCTTTTCAGGGCTACCGTTCGAAAATCATCAGACTTTTATAAAGGTCTGATGCTAGCTGACTTCTGAGTTTCCGACTATAAACTCTAAATATCTACTATCTCTGAGTTGAAGTTATAGTTTTGATGAGCCGTTTCATGTTTATGCTTGAAAGCTGCGCTGCCTTAGCTGTGTACGTTGCGTTGCACGCTGTGCGCTATGCATTACAAGCTACGTACACTGTGTTGCGTTATATAATATGTGTATATGGTGTGCGCTATGCAATGTGCTAAGTGCATCATTCTGCATCACTGTATCCGTAGTGCTGTACATGTCTTTGTGCGCTATACTACATGTGACGTACTGATGTGCTCTGCTTTATCTGCAAGAGCCTGTGTTCAATTTACACGTTACTGCTATCAGGCGTTGCGTTTTTTGTGTCTCATCCAATAACTTTTATGCTTATTCGCTTGATGCTCTGGCCATGAAATAATATTTTCAATCATACTAATTTTAATTTTCTTCGTTGTTTGCGAGGAACTCATAATTTCAATCAAAATATAAAAACTGAAATTCCATAAGATTGCCAGTGCTACACATGGCTTTGAGTCATCATTCATGCCATTATTAGTTTATGATGCGGTTTCAATATTTCCGCAATTATTCAATGTATACATTTTTCTTTTTAATTTTTTCAATAAATATATTAATAATGTATATAGTGTGAATCCCATGAACGTACTTAACAAAATTATTAATGTTTTTATTCAAATTTTTTACTTTCTAAGTAATTTATTTTAATCAATGATCATCGTCAATTTAAGATTTTTCTTTTTTTCTTTTGTTTTACTTTTCTTTTCCATAAGCTTAATTACTTTTTAGTTATATTACTAATTAATTCTTTTTTTTTATTATTATTATAAAATATTTTATTTCATTGCAATTTAGTATTATTAGCCAATATATTTGTGCTGCCCGTCTTCATTCTCATTTAATTAATAAATTTATGAAAAATCGCCAATCTATAGGCAAGGTGCTGAGAAGTTAAATGTAGACCACGGCGATTTTGAAGTTTTTGCCGGCACGTCACAGCCCCCGATCGTCGATGTTATAACGGCTGTGAAATTTAGTGCGTTTGGTCAGCACATATATCCAAACAATGCGGTTATATTCCGTGCTCTGAAGATAATATTAAAATCATAAAAAAATTTATTCCGGTGCACATAGCGTAAGAATATAACAAAACAATTCAAAAGCAACTCAAAAACCTTAGATGAAATCAAATTAATTAACTTACAGCAAATAACTTTAATGCATTGATCGGTCTCGGTCGATACACTGTCTTAGCTGATACACTGTCGCACCAGATCTCCCAAATTTCAACTATTATATCAAATAAATATTCAAAACTCCAACTCGAAAAAAATATTT